TGTGGTCTCTTTCCTTCTGGCTTTCCCACCAATATCCTATATGCATTCTTCTTCTCCCCCATTTGTGCTACATTCCCTGCCCACCTCATCCTCCTTGATTTTTAATGTAGTAAAAAAAAAAGCTGAGAAGAATATTTGGTCCGAACCAATTTCAAATACAGAAGTTATTTCGTGTGTACACAAAATGTATACAAAAGTAAGCAGTTGTAGTCTACACAACAAAATGTTGTATTTAAAATAAAGTAGACACTGTCTTTATTGACGCATATGTTTCGACCCTTATACTGGGTCATCATCAGGCGTACAATGATATCAAACTCAGTTGTTGAATTGCATCAGATTCTTCAATAAGGATCCTTATTGAGCACTTGAGTGTTTTTAAATGCATAAATTGAGTCTTTCAGCTAAAATTTTAAATACGCAGATAATTTAAAAATTAGAGACTAAAGATTAAAACGCAAAAATTAAAATTGTACTAAAATGGTAATGAAGTACGTATATTGCAATAAATCTCTTTAAATCTTTGTGCTCGCTACGTGACGTGATATTCTGGTGGTAGAAGCGACTATACAAGTAGTGTGGGGCGCATGCGTATCGGTATCTTCTCACATAAGTTAGGTCGTGTGGTCTTGACCTTCCTATCGTCTTGTGGAGCTTATGCTCGTTATTCTGTATGTCACCCAACAGGTTGTTTGTTTGGAGTGATGTATATTAGATTTTCTTACGATGATATATGTACAGGTTGCTCCCTGTGTTGATGTCGCTATGTTGTAGCGCTTGTTTTCGAAATGAGCCAATGGAGGATCTCGGGGGAGGAAACGTATGACTGAAGCTGAAGGCCCTGAGGTCTCTACCGTCTCAGAACGAGCCAATTCTACACGGAATCCGCTCCCAGTCCTTTCAATAGGTAGGACGCAGAATCTGCGCCCTTCGAAATTTATAAGTTAACAATCATTTAATTATTCGGCCAACTGGGATACATTACTTATTAGTGACCAGGGGGAACTACGACAATTTATTTAGCCACTATGACTTACTTGAAGTAAATCACATTATTAAAGTGGATTCCTGTAAACGTAAGTGTAAATACGTGTGTTACGTAATAATATATCTCTCTGCTGTGCGCCTGCGTGATCATGGTGTGTGCCTGTGAAACCAGGTTCTTTCTGTCTTGCTGAGCGTGGCTCCTTAAGACCTAGAGATCACATCTCCGGCTCTACTGATCCCAGTCAGAGCCACGATCCTGCCAAACAGGTATCTACTGGTGCCCACCCATCCTTCTACATTCCCAACCTGTCACTACGACAACCGCGAGGAAGGTGCGGGGAAAGAGGCAAAGACGGCACCCCAGGTAGAGGAATCGTCGGCCTCATCATCCGAAGAAGGCCGTAGCTGCAGCGGCGGCGAAACAAACCCTGCAGCCGAGATCGACTATAGTGACCAGTCGTAGGTTATTGTGACCCGACAGTATCCTTCCGGTTCCGTGAAGCAGAGGAAGAGGAGTTCTTGATAAGTTGAGCTACTGTTAGCTTCTCCGAAACTATTCTGCTACTTGCGCGTTTTTTTATTGCTAGCGGGGTGGGACTAAGCCCTTGTACTGCGGCCACTTCTGGCCTATTGTACCAGCCCCAGATGATAGGTGAGGGTGATTGTGGAGCAATTGGTGGAATGAAGATTGGCAAGGGAAACCGAAGTACTCGGAGAAAACCTGCCCCAGCGCCACTTTGTCCACCACAAATCCAACTTGACCAGACGCCGGGATCGAACCCGGGCTGTCGCGGTGGGAAGCCAGCGACTAACCGCTTGAGCTATGGCGCGGCCATGCTACTTGCGAATAGTTACATCTAGAAATACATCAATTGGTAAAGCATTTTGTGACGTAAAACTTTAAACCTCTGTTTATAACGCATTAACTGAATTAAAAACATGTTAAGAAATGATCACATAGCGTAAAAATCCTGGCGTCTTCGGTCTATCCCTGTAAAATATAACCATCACTTTTGTTTAACCATCGTGTAAACCACAAGGCATATGGGGAAAAAGTGTTGAACGCGAAACGCCTGTTTAATTTTTCTGTTTGCTGGACACAATTTTGATCTAAGAAGTGTTTATGGAATTGTTACTTTCGAGAAGAAGGCAGAAAGGAACGTAGCACTTCACATAAGAGTATATATACATTATTGCTGCCCGATTTTAACACAAACTGAACTATATCTGCAAATTATAATGAAATTCTCCAGTACCAAATTTCATGGAAATATGTTGACCAGCATTGGAGCTGTTACATATGAACGGAAGGACTGACGAACAGACATGGCTTAGCAGAGAGGCACATTTTTGAAACTTCATTTCGAACATACCGAAATCTATCCTTTTTTTTTTGTTATTAGATTATATGCTTATGGACCTGATATAGCGATACTCTTACGGAGGAACCGAAAGCAAGCGAAATATTCCTTTTCTGTAACACTAAGAAGAGGAAAGTTTGTGTACAATTCTACAGTAATTGCAATGTACGGGAAAAAGACAGTGACGGTGCAAAAACGGAAATTAAACAAAGAAGCAAAGAAGGGGAAGAGTAATGACGTGAAAGTGCGAAGAAAAGAAGTGAAGTTGCCAAAGAAATGAGGGCAACATATGAAGAAAATATACAAAGTAAGATTTCAGGTTTTCACGGCGGTGACCATGAAGAATGCCGTCTCGTGGGATGTGGCAGTCTGCAGCCACCTGCTCACGTCGGCTCCTCGCTCAAGGATTTTTCTTTTTTCTTATACCATGAAGATGGAGGCGATACGTTCTTCCGAAACGTCGGCTTATACAGTATCCACACGGCGACACATCCCACGAGACGGCATTCTTCAAAATATACGAAGATCTTTACGAAAATATAATGGTGCAGAATGTGAACTTTGGAAAATGGAGTAAAATACGGAAGTTATTGGAATACTCACGAGATGTATTGCGAACTGGCTGGCACATGATACTTTGCGCCGGGATCGAAATCTGCTTCCGACCTTGACACAGGAGGCTTCACTCGCTGGATTGTCTCCCTGCCAACACACGCGCATGATCCACTTTAACAATTGAAACATCTGCTTCATAGCTGTGGTAGTTCACTTCAAGTTTTCTTTGGAGGACTCACTAGAACAACAAGAACTCATTTGAGACATGTGATGTCCCGCTACAGGTCGAACTGAAAACAGACGCATTAGCCAGGAGATGCACAGAAGCTGCTCGACGAACAACGCGTCGTTAGCCTTACGTAAACCTAAAAAGCTTGAACACCCATTCATAACAACATATCACTCAGTAAGACCGCCTCTGTGGTCTAGTGGTCAGAGTTCCTGGCTACAGATCTAGAGGTCCGGGTTCGATTCCCGGCGCTACCACATTGTCTGAGATGTAGTGGGTCTGGAATGGGGTCCACTCAGCCTCGTGAGGATGATTGAGCAGCCATTTCAAGGAAATAGCGACTCCGGTCTAGAAAACCGAAATTAACGGCCGTAGGGATCCGTTGCGCTGATCACGCCCCACCCTTTATACGCTAAAGTTGTCACTAACTTCGCCGACAAGCGGCGGTCGCTCGGTCGGTATAGTTCGCTTGCGGACTAAAGCCACGGAGTTTTTTTTTATGTAAGGTAGATAAATGTCTAGGTACGTAGTTCAATTGATATAACTACTAGGTTACGGGCTGAGCTGCCGTGGAACAGGGGTTTGATTTCCGCCATGAAAAGGAGATTTTGCTCTTCACAACGTCCAGACCTGCTCTGGGGCCGACTCGGCCTCCTATACAACGGGCATCGGGGGCTGATTCCTTGGGGAGTGGAGCGGCAGGGGCGTGAAGTTGACTTCTCACCTCCATTTAGTGCCGATATCAAGAATGATGGAGCTATACCTCCACTCCTCCACATATCTTCCTCGCGTGATGCTTAATTAATTAAGCACAGGAATAACTACGCACGTATATCTTTTACGTCGTTACCAAAGACGATGTTATAGCCCACTTTCCTATCTGAAAATAGGTAAAAAATTTCCCTGTGTTTGGCCCATCTAAAATTTTGGATTAACTGGCGGATATTAATGTCATTTTGTGTGTGTATGAACTTCATATCACTGCGGGTTATCATAGTTTCCTGATTTTAATTTAAGAATCAGAATCCAAAGGAGGTCATGTCAACATGTGAGATGGGAGCTACATTATGAACTCTTAATACAGAGTATAGAAATTTTGTCGTACGGAATGTAACGCCGTGTAGGCAGCTGAATATCAACTGGCGCCTTCGGCTAGGAACACACAGAGACAGCGGTCGTACGACATTTTTCCATACGACCGATGTCGCTGTGTGGGTTCCTAGCCTAAGCCACGTAAGAAATACTACACGGCTTTGCATCCTAGAAAACGGAACCCTTAACACGACATACAACACTGCAAGTTTGTGCCATAAAGATATTAGTGTACAGCCTTTGTTTACTTAATTTTCGGAATGCAGATTAATACACGTATAACAACCTGGAAACAGGAAGGGCATATCTGAACATTTCACAGTTTTATGATAATAAAGAATTAATTTATTAATTATTTAGTTAGGAATGTTAATTTTCCTTTATGCAGATACACTACAATCGGCGCTAGAAATATGACATTTTACATAATTCACATCAGGTTTTATGCAAAAATGAATGTGCTGAAAGGAAAAGGCCCACATCAAAACTCTTACAGACCTACTTGATCGTTTGGAGGGATACAAGTGTTCATTATTTGGAACAAAGTAGTCATTTAAAATGTGTTGCAAAGGAGACCAATGATCATAATAAACAATATACTTTGGTTTTAGCAAAACTATTTTCAAAATTGTTGGAAAACTAACTCTCAAACGGAAGTCTTCCAATTATAATACAGCTTCATTTATGTAAAATGTCCATGGACCATATTCCTGAATTCATAATTCGGAATTATAATCTAGAAAGTAAACATAGCTGTATTATGGCAAGATATAGGCTTATTCAGAAATGAAATTAATAGAAATAAGATTCAGCCAACTGTCACAATAAATCAGCCATACAAATTACAAATGTCTGAGAACAAAATGTTCGGGAAACTATTTGGATCCAAAGACATATGAAGTTAAGACAATTCAGGATGCTACATAGCAAGAAACTTCTTAATCCATACAGTTCATCTAATAACCTACTGTCAGAACATTGAAATATAAGGGGCTGTGATGGGCTGGCCTTATTGCTTGAAACAGCATGTCAAGAAGTAGCAGCCTCCATAGTCTAGAGGTAACGTTCCCACCTCATGACTCGTAGTACGCGGGTTCAAATACCCGGCGGATGTCGTCGAATTTTTAAGGGCGGAAAAATTCAAGGAACAAGTCCTCCGGGGGGACTTTAAGCCGTGGGTCCCGTGTCGTAGCTTTACGGCACGTAAAAGAACCTCATACTTCCAAAGGAGGTCACTGAGCAAAATTGCGGACGTTTGCCGCCCAACAGCAGTCACTAATACCTCCGGTAGATGGGGGAAGCATTATAGATACTTCTCAGCCAGTAGAGAGCCGGTCTCGCTGGCTGGGTGGGACTGATGGTAAGCACCAATGCGGGTAGGATATAGAGGCTGGTAGAAATCATAGAGGGAAGCACAATGGACCACTACAGGTCTAAGTGCATGGGGAACCCCACCCTCTCTAATAACTAAGTCAAGAAGTCCTTTCAAAATTCTAATTGTGAACCTGTTGATATGTTGAAAGGCCGAGAGAGATGTGAGAACCGTATCAAGATGGGGATAAATCTCTTTTGTGACGTGAAAGTGTAGTCTGGTAAATATGGCGTTTCGGAGGAACGTGTTCCTCCATCTTCGGAGTAGAAGTAATCCTCATAGAATATCAAACCTCAGCATGCAGCTTGATCTTCGTGAGGATGGAGAGTGGACGAATCTGGTTCCGGATTGTGTCCATCGGTGGACTTCGGCGTTAGCAGATGCTGAACCTTCAGGTTCTGCTTCCAGAGAAACAGTTACCGTGGTATTCTCTTTCCCTCTCATCAGAGGCCTTCTCCTGACCTCCAGTGTTTTTTCTTACCCCTCGAATGGCGAAGCTACTTGTATGATGGTCAGTCAATCGCAGACATCATGAACTACTAAGAAACTGATAATTACTCATGGGGCGATATGACAAAGCAACATTCCTGTTTCTCGAATAGAAACTTGCAGCCGACAGAGCTGTACCATAATGGATTTGTCACTTGTAATTAGATTACGTTTCTGCTGTCCTTGAACATGGCAGAACAGTTTGACTGAGCCTGTTCTCACCTCAGTTCCCACCAGTGAGTGTTCCACTGTGACTCGTTAACTTTTCCGCTGAAAACATCCCATCGCCACATGTCGATCAGGAGACCGAACGGAAGAAAGGCAACCTGTGCAAGAGAAGAGAATAATATACAGCGTGTTCCGTTCAAACCTCCCACATTTTAATTAATCTTTGCGAACAAATTGTGGTAAATTATGGATTATAATTAACACTATATTAAAGAAAAACTCAAAGAATTTTATTTCAGTTTTCTTCTGTGAAGCTATAGTATCTGGCCGCGTATACATTGGCATGTTAGAACAGTTCCTGTACCCTCAGGTAGCCGATCTGCAGCCTAGCATAATCTTCCAACAAGATGGAGCCCCCCACATTGGGGTCTGGATGTTCGGAGGTAAATCAGTGCCACCTTCCAAGATCGCTGGATTGGACGTGGCGGACCAATTCTGTGGCCACCACGTTCACCGGACCTCACTCCGCTCACTTTGTTCCTCTGGGGTTACGTGAAGAACCGTGTGTTCGTGACTCCAGTGAATGACCTCCCAGATTTACGCGCTCGCATCCGTGAAACGATTGCTACTGTACCAATGGACATGTTGGAAAGAACGTGGCAAGAAATTGAATACAGATTGGATATTGTTCGTGCTACCAGTGGTGCTCATGTAGAGGTTTATTGGTGTGTCAATTACAAGTTTTTGAGTTCTTGTATTTCCTGTTGCTTCATTTTACTACCATTCATACTTTCTGTTCTAATATCTGATAAAATGTGGGAAGTTTGAATGGAAGACCTAAGAACAACACTGCAGCCAATAGAGACACAGGATATGAGTGAAGTACTGTATTCCTCGGATTACTGAGTTTTGGACTTTGTGTATCGCCCGGTATTCCAAAGAACAATAAAGAACAGAGGATTTCTGAAACTGGATCTGTCTCCGTCCTCAAATGAAGGGATATGTTCTGTAGTAAGTAAGTAAGTAAAGCTATCCTCGAACCAGGCCGTGAAGGCTCATAGGGTTGTGAGACGTCGAGGCTCCCACATTTTCTAAACAATCGGCTCACAGATGGCGGCGAGGTTGTCAGCCTTACGCGCCGGCCGCCCTTTACCCCCCAGGAACATTCCGGGTGCTCATATGCAAGTGTAATATTAGCCGAAGTTGTACATAGAGGGCAAGAAGTACAGCAGAAAGTCAGAAGTACACAGTGCAACAGAATGCTGCAGTCCATATATGGGCTGTGTTGTTGTTCAACTCATCGCTGAATAATTTCTTGGGTTTAGGTGATCATATTGAGATTATTATTTTGTGAGCACGTAATGATAAGATTATTAACACGTAACAGACGAATTTAAGAGCAATCATCCAATCATCCAGGAAGAAATGCGGACGTATGAATACATAGAGCAGTTGTTTAGGGAAAGACAGTGGTTCCGTGCCAGACAGACCGTATTCGATTCGCCCTTGCAGAAATCCCTGAAATTTTCACAGCCAAATTGTACTAAGAAACCAATTGCTTTTAGTTTCTGAGGATAGGTATTTTTCTTTATTGCTAGTGGGGTGGAACTAAGTCCCTTGTACTGCGGCCATTTCTGGCCTATTGTACCAGCCCCAGATGATAGGTGAAGGTGATTTTGGAGCAATTGGTGCAATGAAGAGTGGCAGGGGAAACCAAAGTACATGGAGAAAACCTGCCACAGTGTCACTTTGTCCACCAGAAAACCCATTTGACCAGACCCGGGATCGAACCCGGGCCGCCGCGATGGGAAACCAGCGACTAACCGCTTGAGATATGGCGCGGGCCTGAGGATACTTAAATTCGCAGGTTAAGACTAAGTATAAATATAATATTGTAGTTCTTCTCCAATACTTGTTGGCCCTTTCGCAACAAAAATTTGTAAAATGAAGTCATGTAGAGCCTGTATCTGTTTGTCTGAATTTAACCAGTCAAGAACTGCTGAATTATTTTTTATTACATTTTGTATTAGGGAGTTTTACTAAAAGTTATGTACGCAGTCCAACTTTGGTTAAAATTGGACAAAAAAACTGGACAGTTTACACGATGACTTATGTGCGCTTTTTCAATAATTTCGAGCGTAATTCATTATATGTTTCTATCGGAACTAAAACGTTTCGAAGGAAAGGGTTTGTGAAAAGAAATAAATTAACTACTTATGTCCAGTACATTTTCCTGTGCAATCATTGAATTAATTAAATAACAAAGAGCGAAGAAGTTTATATTAGGCAATAAACATAAATGTACAGAACACACGCACACCTCAATTCATGTACATTTAATTAAAATATAAATAATCCTGTTGCCAAAGTCTTTATTTTATTAAAATGTAAAACTCGCGTTCATTTTGCCCGCTTCTTGCAGAGTTTGAAATGAAGAAATGAAAGAAATGAAGATGTCTGTCATGGAGAACCGCGAATGGTTGATCATGAAACTTTATATTTGGTGGCACTGTTAAAATTTATTTACATATTTCTAATTTCTTCTAAAAACGGACACTCTTGGTAGATACTTTACATGATCATGTAGGCGTATTTCTGTGCACAACTCTGGCATAATTCGCTGAATATTTACTTACTTACTTACTTACTCATGGAGCTGAGCCCTTCTGGAGGAGCCGCCAATTCTGCAGCTACTCAAGAATTTTCCAGAATTTTATGGAACCCGAAGGTTCATTACCATGTTCACAAGAGCCCTCCACTGGTCCCTATCCTGAGCCAGATCAATTCAATCCATACCATCCCGTCCTATCTATCTAAGATCCATTTTAATATTGTCCACCCACCTACGCCTTGGTCTTACCAGTGGTCTCTTTCCTTCTGGCTTTCCCACCAATATCCTATACGCATTCCTCGTCTCTTCCATTCGTGCTACATGAACTGCCCACCTCATCCTCCTTGACTTGATCATTCTAATTATACTTGGAGAAAAGTACAAGTTATGAAGCTCCTCATTATGCAGTTTTCTCAAACCTTCTGTCACTTCATCTCTCTTCGGTCCAAATATTCTCAACACCCTGTTCTCAAACACCCTCAGTCGATGTTCTTCCCTTTATGTCAGAGTCGAGTTTCACTCCCATACAGAACCACAGGCAAAATTATAGTTTGTATATTCTAATTTTATGTTTTTGGACAGCAGACGAGGAGACAAAAGAATATTTATCGGAATAAAATTATTTCGAACGAAAGTTTTGGAAGAAAGTAACACATAACTCTTTATGATTAGTTCAGTTTTGCATTAAATCTTAAGGTTTTTAGAGATAGTTAAACAGAAGGTAGCAAACGAGCCAGAATTGTTACACTGTGGGTACACTTTCTAACTTTCTAATATTACAGAGACAGGTCTGATTGCAGTCATAATGCTTTCAGTATGTTTCTGTCTTCCTTCTGTGGATGGGAATGTTACACGTTAACGATGGAGAATTTGGTGGAATGAAGATTGGCAGGGGAAACCGAAGTACTCGGAGAAAACCCGTCCCAGCACCACTTTGTCCACCACAAATCACACTTGACCAGACACGGGATCGAACCCGGGCCGCCGCGGTAGGAAGCCAGCGACTAACCGCTTGAGCTATGGCGCGGGCAAGTTTTTAATTTCCTATACGAAAAAGAATTGTTTTCATAAACTTCATGACAGTCACTATTTTTCACCCCATCGTATGTTGCTACTAACGTTATAACACATAAAATTGTGATATTTATCTGCACTGCATTGTAGATATAAATTGGAAGTACATCTTTCTGCCGTAATACTCGTACCTTCTGTAGCGCTATCTGCATTAGTGCATTGATGTTGTCTTCCTTCGTATCGGCGTAGTCCTGAAGAAGTCCAACTTTCTGCAAGTGCTGGGGCGTAGACACAGAGAGGGCAATAGTATCACCTACAGCCTCATGGAAACCTACAGTATCGAACATAACCTTTTTTTACCGAAAATGACGTCATTACAATAAGACAACGTTTCATATATTTCTAGGTGTTTGCACGTTCCCACATTGCATCATGGGATATTCAAACTTCACATTTCTTAAAGAACTTTCATACTTAAGAGTTCATCAATGTATTCATTATCATATAAGTTTAGGAAAACAGAAATTCATTGTTACAAACTTACAGACGCGAATAAATTGTACTCATTCATACTTATAAAAAAATAGATCGTGGAGCTCTAATTCGTGTCACGGGTAAGTGCAGAGAAGTTAAAACAGCTGAAAGCGTTTCAATTCCTTATGTTTTTCCACGTCTAAAATGGTGGCTCTTGATAACGTGATTCTTAACTGATATAGGTCCTGTTATAGACCCAGAAGATTTCAATAATGTTGTGCGGCTTTTGTTTCTAGGCGATGACATCGTGCAGATGAAATGAACAATATGCCACTCCGTTACAAATCAGACGTACAGTTTGCACATACACGCATGCAAGCATTGTCACGAGACTTTGCATACCTGGGTTAGCTCCGGCCCGCAGAGCATATGGCTGGTCCTTGTATTGGATATAGTATTGGATGTGGCCCATTTCATGATGGATTGTCACGAAGTCCTCCATGTTCACTTTGGTGCACATCTTGATCCTGTTTGAATCATATATTCAGTTTATTCGTAGATGGATTATATTGGTAAAATTACTGTAAACTCTTAAATACTGAACTTCTTCTAAACATTATATAAAAATTCAGTCCATACCTCACAGGAAACACATTACCGTATTTACGCATGTATAGGCCGCGTGCGTGTATAGGCCGCAGCACAATTTTCAGACAGAAATTATAGAAAAAATAATTTTCTTGGAATATTATTTCAGGAGTATTACACCCTGTATTACTAATTATGAATATAATTTTTTTTAAATGAAGTGTGATTTCGAATATTTCGAATATAAGCCGCACCCCAGTTTTCCTCTTGAATTTTTGGCAAAAAATGTGCGGCCTATACATGCGCAAATACGGTAATTCTCCGCTACAAGAATCAATCAATTATTGCTGGTTACGATGCAATCTTTATTTGTTACGAGAATCTGAGGAAACAAACAAGTACACTCTGTGGGTATGTTAAAACACGTGGTAAATATAGAGCCATTGGACTGTAAAGAGTTAAATTTAGATTGCGAATATTGCAAACCTATATCCATATTTTAATGTGTACATTATTTTCCATTTTCATTTGCATGATCTAGCTGCGGAATTAGCCGGAGATAAAGCTCTTAATACCCACATTTATACATCGTAATATACGAGTGTAATCTGTCTAGAAAACCGAGATTAACGGCCTTGTGGATCCGTTTCGCTGACCACGTGACACCCTCTATCCGCAAAAGTTGGCATTAACTTCACCGAAAAGCGACGGTCGCTCGGTCGGTATAATTCGCTTGCGGACTACAAGCCACGGAGTTTGTTTTTTTGTTAATAATCTGTGCCCGATGCTTTTCAGAATTCAATATAAATAGAAATTTTGACTTACATGTCACCTTCATGAAGAAATTCTGGCTTTGAAAAATGGGGAAACCATGATTTACTGATGGCACTTCCAATTTCATCATACTTGTACATTGTTATATTGTCGTTTATATGAACTCGGATTTATCTTCCCGGCTTTCTAAATGTCTGTTAAGTATAGTTAATTAATTCAACTGTAATTTTATGGGCAATGTAACTGACTAACTAACCTCATGGAGCTGAGCCCTTCTTGAGAAGCCACCAGTTGTGCAGTTACTCAAGAACTGCCCAGCATTTTAAGGAACCCGAAGGTTCATTACCGCGTTCACAAGAGCACTCCATTGTCCCTATCCTGAGTGTAAGTGACTGCGCAATAGAAGGAACTTGGACTACTTCCATCTTCATTCCCTTAGCTCTCATTATGAGAGATGTTTTTCATTTTCCATGATAGTGTCAGCAGTTGGAAACGAAAGTGGAAGGTTTAGGTACTAGTCATATGCTAAACATTAGATCATGAGTACAATCAACAATCACTAGACTCGATTTCGGGAGATGCTTGGTTTAAATCTCGGCCGAGACTTTATCCTGACCGACGCGTTTCATGGAATTTCACAGTCCTGCCGGTAATGCTGGGATAGTACCCCGACTACTCCAAGATGGCTTCATTTCAAATACTTTTAAATTAATTATTCATCTATAATCCTACCATTCGAAGCTATACATAAGAGATAATGCCGGCATCGTAAAGTAAAACAGAAAACAAACTCCGTGGGTTTTACTCCGCAAGCGAACTATACCGACCGAGCGACCGCCGCCATCGTAAAGTAAACCAAACAAAAATTTACGGCAAGAGGTAACGTTCCTTTTCCATGATAGTGAGATCGATTTATATCGAACACCGTCGGAGTGCAGGTTATAACCAAAAGATGGCAGTACATGCATCTAACTATACCTCAGGCAATATCGAACGTACTCATTGGCGTACGCTTGTTATTCTGCTAACCTGAAGTCATGCCTGTCACAGAAGTCCCAGGCTGAGGCGTGGCAGACTACCACGCGTCCATCCTCAGGTTTCTCTATCATGGCCACGCTTTCGTCGTACGACATACTGTTCTCTGGCAGCCCTAGCGACTTGTAGAATTCGTCCGATGCTTGGAACATCCGGAGAGGATTATAACCCTGTCACGAGTACACAGAACAAAACCAATTCTGTATTGTTAGTATATTATTGTGTTTTAAGGGACGCGTTGTATGATGTCGAAGTAGCGTGAGCACATAACATTAAACTGATTGAAAATAAATAAATATGAATTCAAGATGATCTAAGGTCAGAGATACAGAAATTTATATGTAAGGAATCGTGAATAGCAAAAGAAAGCATGAGTTACATCATTATCCTACCAAAACTAAAGATTTTAAATAATAATACAAATTATTGTGAAGTCCGCAGTACCAGATATAATCGGCTCTCCCCTAGTCTTTCTTCTTTGTAACCATCAACAAGTCCATTAGACTTGAGGTTCCTGTCTTCGGCGATATAACGCCGTGTATCCGATATAAGTCAACCGACGTTCGTAGGAATACGAGCCTCCGTCTTCAGCGTCTAAGAATAAGTCAAGCAAGAAAGTAACATGAAGCAGCTAGCAAACGGAACTCTGCATGTCTTATTCTTCAATCCTGAAGCTGCAGATATGTTACTCCGAAACGTCGGTTCTACACGGCGCCACATCCAGAAGACTGTTTTTTTTAACAGAATGGAAATGGCGCTCGAAAGAGCTCGGAAGCTCACCTGATCATTGAGATTTTTGGTGACGTCAACTCCAGTAGCATTAGGGTATGGCTTGACGATGTCATAAATGTTCTCCCAGCTTTGAGCCCACATGTTTCCTGCAAAAGCAACGATTTGTCAGTTCCACAGCTGGTGAGTTTTTCATGTAGACATTTAAGTAGTTCTGTTATCGGATTCCATAATCATGAATTATGCAGAATTCGACTCAATAGCCCATTATAGGCGTAGTTTAGTTCTACAGTTTTATTTGTGCATCTAATATCTATTCAGTCTAGTCCCTGTTTGCGTTTGCTCTATATAAGGAGGCCCTGTAATTTTTATAGTCTGCAGTTTAGCTAATAATTAACATTTGAAACACATCATTTTCACTTTACACTACATAGCCTTGTGGTACTCAGTAAAGATCATACAAACTTCATCTGTACCGCTTCCATTGAATTGTCTGTTTCCTTGAGTACGCCGGTCTCTCTCTCACATTAAAACATTTCTTTTGTTATGATGTGAGGTGTTTTTATTTTTCATTCTGATGAAATTTATTTTCATTCGTATGGAAGCGGGTTCGAATACCTCTACTGTAGCCTTGCGAGTAGTAGAAGGCGACGAAAAGGGAGCCCAGTGCCTCGAAGTATAACTGGGCCACACTGCCACTCCTAAAACAAAACTCCGTGGCCTGTAGCCCGCAAGCCAACTATATCGACCGAGCGACCGCCGCTTGTCGGCGAAGTTAATGCTAACTTTTGCGGATAGAGGGTGTCGCGTGGTCAGCGCAACGGATTCCCACGGCCGTTAATTTCTGTTTTCTAGACCGGAGCCGCCATTTCCTTGAAATATCTCCTCAGTTATCTTCACGAGGCTGAGTGAAACCTGTTCCACACACACTACTTCTCTGAAAATCTTGTAACGCCAGGAATCTAACCCGGGATCTTTGGATCTGTAGCCAGGAACTCTGACCACTAGACCAGAGTGGCGGTCCCTGTCACTGGGAGACATAAATACAGAGACTAAGGTACTCCAGATCAGGAGTTGGGCGCAAGGCTGATGACCTTGCTATGCAAAAATTTATTGTTGCGAAATCCAAAGAAGTGAAAACTGGATGAGCTAATTCAAGACAAATCTGACAGAATCTCCTAAGGAAGTCCTTTGCTCAAAAAGGGATGTTTTGCCAATGATGATGATTATGATGAATATTTGTTTGCACATTTTCACGAACCCAGGATGTGCGCCGGGATAAGATCGTCGTCACCCAGCTTGTCCTCGTACAACGTCCTCAGCCTCCTCCTCACATACGTATGCAGTTCCAAATACAATGGCTCCACCTGTTTCCACAGCTCCTGCATGTCTTCCACGAACGCCTCTGTCTCAAACTCGTTCCTCCACATCTCCCCGTTGTCACTGAAGCCTGCAACACAAACAGTCCACATTCTGAAACTGAGGGCACCTTTATTATTATTATTATTATTATTATTATTATTATTATTTTATTGTAACTAACAGTGTGGTGGCAGAACAAGAAGATTTGACACAGGCAGTAGCAAAGCCCACCGTGGCACATAATCGTCTTATTGCATCCACTTTCCATTTTCACGAACATTCTTCCTAACACCCATCTTAATGTTATCCTCTCGTCTTCCTCGCAGGCTACAAAGTGTGAACTTTGCAAANCGCTGACCACGCGACACCTTTATCCGCTAAAGTTGTCACTAACTTCGCCGACAAGTGGCAGTAGCACGGTCGGTATAGTTCGCTTGCGGACTAAAACCACGGAGTTTCTTTTTATAATTAAGAACGAACTTCGTCAATAATATCTAACCTCAGTCTCTTAAAAAGTTCAGAAGTACATTTATGTACTGAGGTATTAAACTTTGACAGAATAATAGTACAGTATGAACCAATGATGCTTCTTTACAGAGAATTTAATTACTATTTTTAAGCAAGGGTAATCATTGTGATACTGCACAAACATACAAATACCACCACTGTCTTCTCCTGCTCATGTTCATAACTGCTTACTACCTTACATGATGTTGGAAGAACAAGTCTTAGGCCGTACACCGGCATGCGTCAGGACATGTAACAGTCAAGACACGAATGAGATTATGAAAACCACCGCACACCGGTCTGAGTCATGTTGCTGACGTCAGCTTTATGCTGACCAATCACGAATGAAACAAGACTGCGTCTTTTGGCTCATGTCTTGATGCTTGTCTTGACGCAGTTGGTGTGCGGCCGCCCTTAATTTTTATACAGACATGGGTAAAGTGACCTTAGTTCCCCATTAGGAATGGATTTGGCTCATGATCACGAAATTTATCGAATTCCTAACAAAATTTAATTGCGATTGGTCCAAGAAATTATTTTTACCGTAAATATTTGTGATCTCTCTGTAAATCTTAGGAGACATTAGCATACCATTATATAGTATATAGAATATATATTATACACACACGCACATACAAATATATATGCTTACCTAGAAAACTGCAGATCTTACTAATAAATATTTCATTCGCAAAAATCTTCTGCATTTCACGGCAGGAACATGAATATTCATGTGGCAGACAGACCACCTACGTACCGAACACACTGATGTAGCTGTAATGCTCTACATTCTTATTCGGGAGGAGCTCTGTTCAAATCTCGGACAGGATATTGGCTATCCTGATTGAGGTTAGTGACAATTATCCCCAATCCCTATATGCAGACAGCGAGATGTACCTCTTCTTGGCAATGACCGCGCTCCTCCAAACGCTTTCCACTTTATTGTTCACTAGTTATCCTATATACACACCGTTCTTCTGTGCTGCCAGGTTGCTCAGCTCCACGTACGTCTTGTAGTCCTCCCTCATCTTGGCTCCAGACACATCTCGCCATGCCTTCCAGACGTATGTTAGTTCATCGTAATCTTGGGATGTGGAGATAACTGCTTCCATGCCTGTAACATAGCCGACTTATTGGCTTCGTGAAGTACAGTTTTAGTTTTCATCTTATTCGAACGTACAAGTACCCTCTCGTGCTTATTTGTTAGACTGCACCATGAACCAGTAATAATACGTAATTACCCGAGGCCCCACCTGTCACCGGACCTCGGCATAGTAGAGAACCTATCATAAAGCACGACTATGTTATAAGTATTTCAAAATCAATATACATTATAGGGGCACGCAGTAGCGTAGTTTGTAGAGGCACTTCGCTACAAGCTGGAAGGTCTCGGGATCGAATCCCGACGAGGTGGATTTTTTCAAGTTACCTAATCCTTCCAGCAGCACTATGGTCCCGGGGTCGACTCAGCCTCTAACAGAATTGAGTACCAGGACTATTCCTGGGGGTAAAGGGCGGCCGTCGCGTAAGGCTGACAACCTCNTGAATCCCGACGAGGTGGATTTTTTTCAAGTTACCTAATCCTTCCAGCCGCACTATGGCCCCGGGTTCGACTCAGCTTCTAACAGAATTGAGTACCAGGAATATTCCTGGGGGTAAAGGGCGGCCGTCGCGTAAGGCTGACATCCTCACTGCCATCTGTGAGCCGATTGTCTAGATAATGTGGGAACCTCAACATCTCACAACCCTACGGGCCTCCACGGCCTGTTCTTTACGTTTTACGTTTACCTTTATACATGAGAAATAATAAAATTTCTACTACCATTTCAGTTGCATTTCATAGTTGGATTATGACATTGAGAGACTTCAGATAAAACAATCTTCACTTCCGTAGAAGAAATAGCGTGAACCTCCTGTTTATTCCTACGTCGTGAAATACACTTCCCTATTTATAAGCTGAAAGTAACACAGGTAAAGTTGCCTCTGTACTTAAATATTTAAGTACTATGGTATGAAGACATGTGAGGGAGTGGAGTTATATTCCAGCATTCTTGATCTGAGCACTAGCTTCACGCCTAGCGCCCTTTACCCCCGGAGAAAGAACCTCCAGTACCAATTGTGTAGGAGGATCGGTGGGCCCCAGCGCCGTTCTGAACGCTCTTGAGTATAGGAAAGTTCCTCGCTCAGCCTGAGAATTGAACCCCGGCCATCTTAGGCTGGGGCCACAAAAGCGCACAAAATGCGTCTGTTGTAACGAACGTCGTGACGTCCGTTGTAGAAATAAACAAGAGAAGCGAATGCTACGCTTTCTTCTGGCTCCATTGCAGACAAAAATCTACGCACCGCATTCTGCAACTGTGTGGTGTCCTCAGCAACGTCCGTCATAAAGTACCTTCGTTGCAACGGACATACTTCGTGCGCTCGTGTGGCCCCAGCCTTACTCGTAGCCCGTCGCTATACCGACTCCTTCTCTAGTTATGAGTTAGAATATAATATTTCCTCGTGATTTAATCCAAGGAAATTTTACCACATTATTCTCTTCAATGACTATGCAATTCACCTGGATCCAATGACAGGCCTTCAGTGGCGAGATCACATTCCTGTTTGTTGTATGGACAGATCTTGGCAGAGCTGTATATTGTAGTCATGGCGGTTTCGCGCCCATTCAGCTGCAAACAAAAAAGTTGTCAGTCAACATGTATTTACATGCCAGCTGAGTAACGGGTCGGTGTCCCACTCCTTACCACAGCTTACATAACATACGTTGCAGGATTGCTTAGTTTTCGTTTTAGTACTAATAAGAAGCTGTGAGGAGAACACGGGACATGTACGTACTTTGCTGAAAGTTTATCGCTGTATGTCGTGATACCAGCGGCAGTTGAGCTTTAATAGCCATGAAAATTAATGATCCATTTGCATGCATACATTCCACTTGTACAAATTCCAATTACTGTGAATTTATCACACATTAATCTAAGCGGTTCGACTCGTTAAAATCTTTGTAACTCTGACTGTATGTAAAAATATTCATATATGATTTGTATGTACGTATGTTTCTGTACGGTCTGTCTCCATATGAAAATCTATGTGGCCTGGGTGTATCGTAAAATAAGTCACAATCCGTACCAACTTTCATATCCCTGGCTTAGATGGTTAACGCCATGCGACGCAGAGAAAAAAGCGTTTCAGAGAACTTTTACCACAAAAGATTTCCGGAATGTATTAGCGCTAGGGTTGCACCTACCTCGGAAATCCCCGCTGTCTCCATGCTGATATTTGTGCCGGCGTGAAATTGAAAGTTAATTTAATAACGGTATATGTGTTGAAGGCTGAGGTTAATGGTTCCAGCAAGTGTGTCTGTATGTGTGTGTTTACACAGACGGTAGTACGGTGTTTACAATGTACAGAAACAGGTAGTGGAGTGCTTCGTGCGTTGTTTCGTATGAAGCCGAATATATGTTCATCATAAAAGAAAACGGGACCGGTTGCTGGTGGGCAGACCTGCATCCCTCCCCATATGACATTAATGGCTCCTCCAAGAAATTGAATCCATATTTCAGGACACGCATATGGCTTTCGGGAAACAAAATCCATATTTCAGAAAGTTTTCACTCTGGATCTTTTCTAAGTTCTTCCAAGATAAGAGTGTGGATGAGTTAAAAATTATAAAGTCAGTAAATTAGTATATTATGATGGCTCGTGGACGTGTTAAAGTTTCTATGACGTTAGGTGTTATCTGTAACGTATCAACGGATTAAAGTCTAAAGGTAAAGATAAAGGTGTCAAATAATAATCCTTGAAGCCGCATTATGGTCCTGGGTTTGCCTCAGCCTCTAACAGAAATGAATACCAGTAATCTTCCTGGGGGGTAAAGGAGGGCCGGCGCGAGCCGATTGTCTAAAGAAGATGTGGGAGCCTCGACGTCTCACAATCCTATGGGCCCTCGCGGCCTGTTACACGGATAGCTTTTATGAAAAAACGGATATGAGCTCGACAGCTCAGGTGACCAACCGCCTGAGCTCTGGGACAGCCAGTTCGAATATTGTTCTAGACCCGTATATTTAATTATCAATAGTTTAAGCATAATATTTCTTTCAAGAAGACTTAGGATTTCAGTCTGAGAAGTATGTAAGTTAAGTGTTAATGCAGTGGCGACTCACCTCGCTGAGCTCAGCGTCGTCTAGCGCCGAAACACCCAGTACAGACAGAGTTCTGAGTTGACGCTTTACCGTTTCATTCTGGAAGTTTTCCCAGGAGACGTTACTGAAGTGTAGCTGCCATTGTTCCTTCTCAAATTTTGCAAATTCCAGGGTCTGTGCTGTCTGCAACAATGTAAATTTGCACCTGAGAGCTATGAACACACTGTTATACAAAACGTAGTGGATCTTGAGAAAATGCGACTACTGACGTCATAGATCACTCTTTTTCTATTCATGGGGCGGGGTAGGGTGAGTCAGTCCAATTTGTACGTCGTCACTAGTGGTCCATCGTTCCAACCCCGAATGATGGATGTATGAAGCATTCAGTTTAAAAAGAATTGTTAGGGGAAACCGAAGTACTCGGAGAAAACCTGTCCCAGCGTTATTTTGTCCACCAAAACTCCCACATGACCTGACCTGGGATTGAATTTTGGCCGTCTCTGTGGGAAGCCAACTACCTCACGGCCTCACACAAATCGCTTACTAGAGAATGTTACCGTTATCACAATTCTTTAGAATAGACTGTAATTCTTGTGGGCTGCTTATCGATGTTATCACTATCTTCGCTGTGATATAATAATATCACTCAAAAGTGATTTTAATCGAACTATTGCGTGAAGGAGTTGATGATAATTACGAAAACTCCTTAGTTACAATGGCGAGTCTAACCGAACAAGCCAGGATATTGTCAGTTTGGAAAACTAAGGAGACAGGAATGCAAAAGTCATCTGACAAGGAAGGTACGGCCTAGTTTTTCCATTAAAGGAGAGATTTAGTGACCCAGTAATTAAAATACTAAGATGACAGAAATGCAGCAAGCTGTCCCTGAAACAAACTTCGGAATTGAGGAACTGCAGTTTTGACAAGGGACAATACCAGTAAGCCAAGTCTAGTGTTATGCCCACACTCCAGGATGTGACAAAGCCCTGCTTTCATTTCGAGTGTTTAACGTTTCATTTAGGGATTAAGAATTTTGGAGATCGAGGTTTAAACTTTGTAAAAGCCAGAGTGTCCGTTTGTTTTCCAGCGAAGCTGCAGATTTCTTATTAGCGGACAAATTGAAGGACAAATACCTGTTCATAAATTCTCAACTTCTCCTTCCGAGGCGTGGGTGGAATGTAGCTGCGATATGCCAAGGGGTTGTTTGCTGGCTTCTGGAACCGGCAGGCGACAAGTCCAAGGAAATTAACTTATCCCTCCCTTTGAACCACGATTCGGATTATTTATTCTGTGGAACATCAATCCCAGGTTCGGGATCTTATATGTGAAAGTGAGCAAAGTGTGATTACAAATTTATAATACAGTATCCGATGGTACCGAATTAAATTTGCAGTTTTGTTACAAATCTACAACATTCCTCTAGACAAACCAGTTCTGTATTTTTCATCAAACGCTAATAGAAGTTCAGCTAATCAAGAAATTCCCCTCCTTTTATGCAATAGGTGTCTTCGAAACCTTGTTCACCATATATCGACGCTGGAACGTATCCCGAGCCATATGAATCAATTCCACATCGTCAAACCCTGTTCCCTTAAGATCCATTTTAATATTGTCGTCTCATCTATGTCTAAGTCTACCAAGTGATATATGTCTTTCGTGTTTTCCAGATAAAATTATATATTCGTTTCTCATCTGGTCTGTGCGTCTTCCATCCCTCTCATCTGGTCTCTGCATTTTCCATCCCTCTCATCTGGTCTGTGCGTTTTTCATCCCTCTCATCTGGTCTGTGCGTTTTTCATCCCTCATCTGGTTGTGCGTTTTTCATCCCTCTCATTTGGTCTGTGCGTTTTTCATCCCTCTCATCTGGTTGTGCGTTTTTCATCCCTCTCATCTGGTTGTGCGTTTTTCATCCCTCTCCTCTGGTCTGTGCGTTTTTCATCCCTCTCATCTGATCTGTGCGTTTTTCATCCCTCTCATCTGGTCTGTGCGTTTTTCATCCCTCTCATCTGATCTGCGATTTTCATCCATCCTGCTTGGTGTGATTATCCTAGTAACCTCTGAGAGCAGTGTACATTACGAAGCTCCTAGTTGTGCAGCCTTCTAGAACCTCATATTAGGTCTACTACCCCTTTCGTAGGTCAAGATATTTTTCTCAGTGTCATGTTATGCAGCCATAACTACATGCACGATCCAAGTAGACTCTCGTGTACGGAAGATTTAGAGCAACTCTGTTATCTACTCAAGGGAGTACATAGTGTAAACTGGGCGAGATTCTACATCTGGTACGCCACAAAACCTGAGATCTTAACAAATTACACACTACATGTCTGTTGCGTGCACGTTTCATGAAGAGAAAACACGTAGAACGTGCTTGCAGACTTTCCTCCTCTCTTGTATCTTCTCGTAAATAGAACGGTGTTACGTTAGCACGTCATAAATACAGCGGGTGACCTCGTAGGCGTATGCGGTCTTATGCTCAGAATTCTGCGGAATCAGTTTCCAGACCTGATACAGAAAAAAACATTTTTATTGAAAGCAGTGATCTACAGGTAACGCTTTGAACACGTATTCGGGAAGTGTTCAGTTGGGATCTCGACGGAGACACCGGATATTCGTGGGTTTTCGTCAGCATCTCCAGGAAAATGCCTGGATAGTATTTCGAGTAGTTCACAGTCGCTTCCTTCCTAATTCTTTCCCAATTCATCATTAATCTTGCATCCCAACATTGACGCTGTACAATCTCGACTCTGAAAATGTAGCTAAATAACAAAAGAAAGAAAAAAGAAAAAGAAGAATGCCGTCTTCTTGGATGTGGCGCTGTGTAGATCTTGTGTGAACGACGTTTCGGAGGAACGTATCGCCTCCATCTTCAGGGTAGAAAAATCCGCAGCCAGAAGTCAACGTGAGCAGGTGACTGCAGTCTCCTAATATATATACTTAATATAGCATGTCATGTGAAATAAATTAACACATTATATGAAGCATTTAGTAAATGCATTTTGTGAAGTATTTTCTTAGAATCTGCCATTTTTTAAGAAGCTAAATATCTTAACACACATACTGAGGAATGAAAGGGAATTTTCTTGGCAACACCGAACCAACTGTCGAGTAGTACGCGGCCCAATTGCAGCGAGGTTGACAGCCCTGTTTTAATGTATAAAATGACCACCATGTGGCTCCAAGGCTAGAAATAATGGAAACCGTGTGTTATGTCACATTTTTTCGCTTTTTAGAACTAGAATTTAAGAAAACAAAATTCATTAATTATTATTTGTTGCAGTCACGAACTTCCGTGTGTCAGTTAAGATGTTAAAGTGCATTGTCACTGTTTATATAACAGAGAAGTGTCACAGAAGAATTCTGTGAAAGTATTTATTTTATGAATTCAAATAAGAGAATATTAATAACATTGTCATAACAGCGGGCAGTTACATGGCTTTCGCAGGCCTGCGTTTGATTTAAGAGAAAGCGGAGCAAAGTTCGAGTGACTCCTCTAATAATTAATGGAAACACATTCAATTATAAACACAGTCCACACCTTCTCAGCCGTATGAATTTGTTGTATTTGAATTGCACATGCATAGAATGCACGATACGGTATGACGATATACCTTGCACCGGAAGCCGCAGAACGTCTGTGAAATACATCAGATGGTCAATGTACCGGAAGTAACTGACAATTATAGACATTGTCAGTTGCCCCTCTCTGAGTTCCTGAAAGACTTACGTTAAACTACACAGCCTTGGGTGTCGCTGGCTCTGTTCAGAATATAACAGACGTCCCTACAAGAATTCTCGATGTATGAACTTAGACGGATCCTATGAAAGGATGAAATATTATCCCTTTTTCTAGTAATTCATTCTGCCTTCCATTCTTCAATACATGAATGTTGTCTGTGTCATCAGTACTTGGTGCAGGATCCACATGAAAAGTGCTGCATTTCTGTGGCAAAAGCTTTGTAAGAAAACGCCAGGAATATTTTAAAGAAATAGGATGTGAGGATGTGGGCAGGATTATGCTGGCTGAAGACAGTAACCCAGTGCCTTGCTTACTTATGGAGCTGAGCCCTTCTTGAGGAGCCGCCAAATCTGCAGCTACTCAAGAATTTCCCAGCATTTTATGGACACCGAAGGTTCATTACCGTGTTCACAAGAGCCCTCCACTGGTCCCTATCCTGAGCCAGATGAATCCAATCCATACCATCACATCATATTTCTCTAAGATCTATTTTAATGTTGTCCACCCACCTATGCCTTGGTCTTCCCAGTGGTCTCTTTCCTTCTGGCTTTTCCACCAATATCCTATATGCATTCTTCTTCTCCATTATTCGTGCTACATACGCTACCTACCTCGTCCTCCTTGACCTGATCATTCTAATTATACTTGGAAAAAAGTACAAGTCGTGAAGCTCCTCATTATGCAGTTTTCTCCAACCTCCTGTCACTTCATCTCTCCTCAACACCTTGTTCTCAAACACCCTCAGTCTATGTTTCTCCCTTAATGTCAGAGACCAAGTTTCACACCCATACAGAACCACATTTTGTATGTTCTAATTTTTACGATTTTAGACAGCAGACGAGACGACAAAAGGTTCTGGACTGAATGGGAGCAGGCATTACCCGAGTTCAGTCGCCTCTTACCTTCCTCCTCAGTAGTAACCGAGTGCCGGGTTCTGTGAATGCGGTAGTAAATTCGGATTCTACATAAGACGGTAAGTTTCTTGACCAGCTGCAAGACTGCTGAGTTTTGAAGTAGACCTCTTAGTTTACTCTGTTCCGCGCACATACACTTCCGTGTTAAAGATAACGCTTGTTCCTTTAAGTTCTGCAACAAATTTCTCTTAATGTCATTCAATTGAATTGTTCTTGTACTTTTGCGACACAAGTGCTAGCAGTATTGGGATTCAAGTAAGTCAGCTTCCTCTCCGATGTCGAGTTTATTGGGTTCGTCGAAGAAGGAAATTCAATATATCTAGAAACAGAACTGTAGCAAAAGCGTCTGCGTCCAACATGGACTGCCCGTGTTGCATAGCGAGTGACGCTTCTCTGTGTAGGCCCATCCGAAATCTCATTCCCTCCCAATTTGTTACAATTTACCGGTCACATTTACTTACAGAATTCCTCTAAACTGATGTCTGAACTCTATAGGAGCATAAGACTGCCTCTGTGGTCTAGTGGTCAGA